GGAATGAAAACCCAAAAACCCAAAATCCCTGTAAATGTTCATTAAAACTAATGAAATTTAATAATAATTAAAAAAACTAAAAAAAAAGCCCAGAAGAAAAAAAAACAACACAACCCTATGATTAATATCATTAAAACAAAGAAAAATTCTCCACTGTACACACATCTGCAAGTCTGCTTTGATTTAGTCCCCAGTTCCTTTTTAATATGGCAAGCATGTATTACTTCTGTTGTTACATCAATTGCAAAATGCATGCTGTTTAAGTTATAAAGTTCCTTTCCTTTTTGTGATTATACATAGTCTGGGAAAAGAGTGGAAGAAGTCAAACAAACTAGAGAGCTGGTATCAAATCTTGCTCCTGCACTTTACGGCCTGTATGCCTTCCTGAGCCTTTGTTTTGTCCTAAAGGAATTCTCATTGCCATGTTGTTATTTGCCTTTACGTTGCCCGTGACTCATAGTGACCCTATGTTCAATAGTTCTGGACTCTGCTCTATCCTGAGCCAATCTCACTGTCTCTGACACACCTACCGCCATTACCCCAGTCACTGAGTCAATCCATCTCATCTGGGGTCTTCCTCTCCTGAATTTTACCTCCACCCTACCAAGTGTGTCCTGGCCACTTGTCCAAAGTGTGTGAGACGAAGCTTCAAAAGCCTTACGTCCAAGGAGCAGCCTGGTTTCACCCTCTCCAGGACCGATCTGTTTGTTCTCTTGGCAGTCCGTATTCAATACGCTTCCCCCTCAGCACCAGAACTAAAAGGCATTGATTTTTCTTTTGTTGTTCTTATTCATTGTCCAGCTCTCTGATGCATAACAAGTAATTACCTGGATCAGGCTCATCTTAGTCTCTAGACTGGCTCATTGCCATAGAGTTGTTGAATTGACTCACAGCTCATCTTCCAGCAGGCTTTTAGAGGCTGTAAATAAAGTGGGAGTAAGTAGCCCGATTTTCTCCCTCAGAGCACCCCCCAGAGTCATCACCTTCCCTCCACACTATGCCGCCAGAGTGAAGTTGTCATTCTAGCAGTGGTTGTAGTAGTAATAATAGCTTTTTAAAAACTATGAGCACGTTCCTCAAGTGTTTAAGTGTTTCAAGCATTCTTCTAAATGCTTTGTTCACTGTGAAGTTTAATCTTCACATTTGCTCTTCTGAGAGATAAATGCTGTTATTGTTAGTGCTGTGGTTTTCAGTAAAGATCCCTGGTGACACAGCGCCTTGAGCGTTCACCTGCTGACCAAAGAGTTGTCAAGTCAAATCCACCAGCGCATGGTGCCAGAGAAGGAGAGATGCAGTGTCCTCCCATAAGGACTTACAGCGTGGAAACCAAATCTTGTTTCCACTCCAGAGTCGGAACCAACTTACAGCTGCCCCTCCATTGGTTTTCAGAGGCTGTAAGTAGCACGAGAGGAGATTGCTCACCTCTGGGCCGCTAGTTGTTGTTAGATACCACTAAGTGGAGTATGACTCAGTGACTCTATAAACAACTACTCTGAACCCTGCCCTACCCGGTGCCATCCTCACCAACTGCAACATACCCCAGCCCATCATTGTTACTACGCAAATCCACCTCATTGAGGGTCTTCCTCTCTTACCCCTGGCTTCCACCTTGCCAGGCATGATGTCCTTCTCCAAGGAGCCCTCCACACCACACTCTCTATGTGAGATGGTGTTTTGCCATCCTTGCCTCCAAGTGGATTAGAACAACCAGAGAGATACAGATTTGAGGTTATAGCAAAGCAGCTTCCTGGAGATTGTGTTACCAGAGGTCTTTAGAAAACCCAGTGAAGAGTTAAATTAACTGGGATTGATTAATTGACAGCAGAGTTTGGAGTTTTGGTGGTGGTTGTTGTTGACTGCCTTCGAGTCGAGCACGACTCATAGCAACCCTATGAACAAAAGATCTGAAGCCTTTGATAACTATCATTTCTCAAAGGTCATAGAGTTTCCAGAGGCATGTGGTTTAGGAAGTGGATGTTGTAGGTACTATTACTGTCCTTTCCTGTTAACAACCAAAACTCCCCTCTTCCAGGCTAATTATTACTCCTAATATCCATCCCTGTTTTTATTATTACCTCTATTTCTTTTGTCTACTCTTCCGCCCCTCCTAACAATTTCATCTATTTAATCTGCTTCTTTGCCAACCCCTGCTGCCATGTAAATTTGACAAGGGTAAGAATCTTTGTGTTTTGTTCACTTTTTAAAATTTTTTTTTTCACTTTTGCATACTCAGCACCTAGGTGCCAGTAAGAGCTCAGTGAATTTTTTTTTAAAAAAATAAATGTGTTTCCTTTATATGTTAGATAGAAACGGAACCTTGGGTAAGTGACACACCCAGATGGTTTCATACTGGTTTTCAGTAAAAGCCCCCATTTTTGATTGTTGTGTTTTCACATACTTCCTCAAACTGGGAAATAGTAAAAATGTTGTAAAAAGACTTTTGCTTTATATTGCCATGGGAAAGTCTGCTGTTAGG